ATTTTATAAAATATTTTTTTTTAATGAGTTTTTATATCTTTTGCGTCGTTTTAGGTGATGGCATTAAGAATTCTTTCCCGGTTGATGTTCGTAAAGACACGACCGTTGAGCACCTCAAAAAATTGATCAAGGAGGAGAAGGAAAATGCTTTTGCTAATGTTGACGCTGATAAACTGATTTTGTGGAAAGTTAATATTCCTCAAAGCAAAGAAAACCAGGAAAAGAAAATAAATACCGAAATTAACATTAAAGAAGAACTCGGAGGTGAAGAGTTGTATTCATTCGAAAATATAAACAACCATTTTGATAAATCTAGTACTTGCATCCGCATCATCGTGCAACCACCCCCGCCTGCCACCACTGGTAAATGTCTCCCGATGTTTTACCTCTCGAACAATAAATTTTCAGTAACAAAATATCGAATTTAGTCTGATCTTTTTTTTGCGTTAAAGAAGATCATATTATTATCAAGAATGAGTATTACTTTAAAGACTCCAATCTGGTTTCAAGTCGAAAGCTGTCATCCAAACAAAGTTACCGAAGCAATAAAGGCAAAACAGCCAGTTAGCATAACCTGTGATGCTACCGCCCTCACTCTCCATGTGAAGGAAGAGAACGAATCAAAGTATACTACAATTGATTCAGCTTTCTTTAAGAAGCAATGCAATAAAAACTTTGAAAAATTAATTCAACGATTTGGAATCGATGATGATAATCCAATTAATGTTTTGCTTCCAGGTATGTTATAATCGATGCTGATTTTTTCGAGGATGAATGTCAGAACGACTTTTCCACTATGGTCGAAAGGTTTAGAATCAATCGAAAAAATCCAATCAAAGTGGTACTTCCGAGTACGTTTGAAATAGTTTTACATACATTGTCTATAATTTGAACTAATGTGTATTCTCTTTTACCTTAGACAAGCGAGAAGATGGTGACTAGCCAACGAATTATTCGATATTGTTATTACTGTACATTATTTAAATATATTTCTCGTCTCAATAGAAATGAAAAGTTTGACAGCCGGTGTAGCGGCAATTATACTTCAAGGTAATTTGATTTAATCTTGTCACTTTTTACAATTATCTTATAAGAAGTGATTTACTTTAAATGATTACGACTTGTTTATTGTATATAACAGATAAAATATGGGTTCGTTTCGGTCAAACTCAACCTGTTTCCTTATCACGTAAACATTTGGAAGGAATCGTAGATGTGGATGATCTAAAAAGCGTGATCAAAGAGCATTTGAAATCTTCTCTTGGTGGTATATCTGAAGAGCTTATCACACTTCAAAAAGGGGAAACGATCTTAAAAAATAGTACACCAGTGGCAGAATTATATAACACGGAGGATGAAGCATTAGATATTATAGTCAAAGAAAATGGTACGCATTATTTTATGCCATATTTAACAAAAATATAATAGTGGCTTCATTTTTTAATTGACTCATTCACCACGCTTAGGTAGTCAGAGTTCTTCAGGAAAGACGAAGACAGAAAGTAAGAAGGTATAGAATTATTGTTATTATGCATTATTCTTGAGTGATTTAAATTATTGACTCATTATTCGGTAGATACGAGTTACGCTAATATAACGCGCATTGAGAAAGCATTCCAGGTTCCATATCAAGGCACAACACTGGATACCTTTTACAAAAGATTAGAAATTTTCCATAGTGAATGGTGCGATGAGAAAAAAATCATATGCCCCTTACTTAACAATAATTCAAAGTTCCGGTTCTGGAAAAACAAGACTTGTAGGGGAACTAAGAACAAAAGAAATTTATGTTTTATACATTTGTAAACGAAAAGAAGAAAGTAGTGGATACCCTGTTTCTACGCCCTTTGTTCGGGAAATCTTTGATAAAATCAAATGGAATGAATTTGGAAATCTTTTATCTGTAGCAATTAAAGTAATTCATCAACGAATCAGTACACACAAATGGGATGCAAAAAGATTTTGAGATATTCAAATCAAAGCTAAATATAAACAGGATCGTTTAAGTTTTTGGGAAGAAATCTTTAAATCATTATCACAACAAAGTCAACATGAATCAAATTACAATGATAGAAATTTCGTAAAAGACCTATTTCCGAATAATGAAATTTCTATTGTTTGTTGTGTCGATGAAGCGCATGAATTGCTTGAAAAAATGTCAAAAGAACAAACACATGACGAGACTTACTTTATTCAATGGAGACGACAGATTCGAGAGATCAAGTGGCGTGGATTCTTTAACATACTGCTCAGCACAAATGGAAAGATTGGAAATTACCTGCCTCCTGTGATAAAAGATACTCAATCCGCTAGATCATACAAGTTTTATCTGTTTCCTGCGTTTTTGGATGTCCATACCATCGATGTGTTTATGAAACTTGCGCAACCTGGAAATGGTTATGATCCTGAAAGAAATTTGTATCTAGGTATTCCACTTTGGGGATCTCTTTATCAAGCGGGGATGAACCTTTTCGACATATTACATTTGGCTTCGCAAAAGATTCGTAATTTTAGTAAAAAGAATAATAGAGATTATCTTGCCAATCTCGCATGTATGGCCTGTTCTGTTGCTATTGAAGTCTCACCCGGATCGCAGATGTAGACACTTTAATAGCATCATATATGGAAACTGCCATAGGAGTCTCGCAAGATCGTACAGATCTCCTTTGTGCGTATCCGTCTGATCCTATTCTTTCAGCTGGGGCGCTAAAAGGAATTGTAGATGTTGGTTGCGAAGACTGAGAAATAGTAGTAGTAAACACAAGAGCCTGCAATAAAGATACAGTCATCCTCTTATATAGTCACCTCCCATATAATCACACCATATAAAAAACCTCTATATAATCACACCTCTTGGCTAGACTAAGCACCAAACAATTATAAAGTTACCTCTATATAGTCACAACTTCTATATAATCACAGCTTCAGAATTTTTTACTATGCTTCTAAGAGTGTGATTATATGGAAGGATGACTGTAATAGTAATATTAACATGTATAAAATTATTTAAGTATAATGGTTTGAATTAATTTCAATAAAAACCTTGGTATTAATCACCTTCTTCACCATAAAAATAATAATAATAATAATAATAATAATAATATAAATAGTTAGATTAAAAGTAAAGAATTTATTTTTGAGATTCATATTTAACTTATTGTATACTTTATATCTAAAAAATATATATTGTATTTACTGTAAGTATTTTTCTAATGAATATGTATATAAATATATAAAAGATTGCTTTAACTTAAAATAATAATAATAATAATAATAATAATAATAATAATTTTTATAATATTTAATAATAAATTTGAATTTATTCCATATAAAGATGATTGAATAGAATTAATATAGTATCTGATACTATAACCAATCATATGCTATTTCTTATAAGAAGCTATTTTATATACCAATCTGATAAATATTGAGATTGTGACCTTTCCATTAAAATATCATGATATAATGGTTATCCAGTTGATACATAATAATTGTCGTAAAGTCTCTTTATACAGTTGGCAACATAAAGATCCAGAATTTTATTATAGTATATAAAAAATGCCATAGACAAGTTATTTTAGATTTTCTAAAAATAGCTTTTATATGTTATGTCCATAATCACCTACACTGACATAATAAATAATCAAGTTTTTTTTATATAATAAATTATTATTTATAAATAAATTATGTCATATAATACATATCTTGAAATGCAATGAACTGTCATAAGGAAGCTATAGGAAAAAAATATTTGAAAATCCTCAAAAATCATAAAAATTATGGACTATCCTAAGTTCACAATATATGATCTTACAAAAAAACTCAAAAAATATAATACTATTGAATATGACTCTATCCTTGGAAGGCCTCCTCTTCTTTTGATTCAAAATTGCCATTACTTCAGTTTACTTGTTCAGAACAATCAAGTAGTTTCAGCAGTTGAAATAAGAGATAGACTTATTAAAAATAATTTAAATTTTCAGGTATCCACTTATACTATTCAATATATTCTTAATAAAAGCCTTCAATATATTGTTTATAGACCTTTGCAAATTCCTTTTTTCAAGCCAAGTCATATTGTTCTTTGTCTCAAGTGGGATCAAAAACATATATATAATAACTGATCACAAATGATTTTTTCAGATGAGACCATACTTCAGATATTTAGAAATATCCAACTAGTATGATATTGTCATGGGAATCAATATTCATACCAATTCATGGTAAAATATCCATATAAAGTTCACGCTTGAGAAGCATTCTCTTCATGGGAACCAATCACATTGTTTTTATTCATAAAAAATCTAAACTCACATAAATATTATGAAATTTTTTCTTTTCACCTATTTCTAAACATTTATAAATCTGGCTTGAGGTTGTGATTTCAATAGAATAATTTTCCTGTTTATACAGCAAGCACCACAAAAAAACTTCTTGAAGATTATCATATTTGTATGATTGACTGGCCTGCAAACTTACTTGATTTGAATTCCATAAAGAACTTATGGGCAATACTCAAGAAGAAAATGAAAAAAAAGATCAACATTTATATGTTAAAAAAAAAAAATCTTCATAAACAAGTTTCAAGAAATAATCAGATAAGAGTAGAACAATATTGATCATAATATCTTTCTTAGGTTAGTATAGAATATGACTAATTATATTACAAAGCTTCTAAAGAAAAATGGAAAGAAAATCAATTATTAAGCTATTATATAATATGATTTATCATATTTTCAGCTATACTTTAAAAAATTTTTACCATAAAAAAATAAGTAAAAAAATTTTTTTATACATTATAATAAAATTCTGAATCTTTATGTCACCAATTGTATATAGATTGTATAGGTTTCCTATTTAAGTTATATTTAATAAGTCTTATCTTAACTCTCTTTTAGGATTTTCTAGTTTGGAGCTATTTCAATTCAGCACTTGCTTAAAAGAAGTAAATCTTTGGGAAAGGATCTACCGAAGCCACAAATGATAACAAAAAGCAAGTATCTCCTTCGAGGGTCCAAACAAAAAGTATCAAGGTGTCCAGAAATCTTATCAACCTCTACAAAATAAACACAGCTTTTTGTAAATGGGTTATAGGTTAAATGGTTTAAACTAGTAATAATTATTCCCTCTATAGAAACCCCATCTGACATGTTGAATCCACATTTAATGTAAAATTCTCATAGTTGGGTTTAAGATGGATGATAAGCTGTTACTATAACAGGTAATAGGCAGTGTTAGTTATAGTTAGAACTGTCATCAGACACAATCGATACAAACAAGCAATTGTTTCAATTGTAAAAGACACTTGATGTATTTCCATTACACAAGTATCAATAAAGATTTGCATCATTACATGTTCATTTATAAAATAATAATAATAATAATAATAATAAATTTGAATTTTAACATAAAATATATAATTTTATTTCTTTGAATATTACAAAAAAATAATATAGTTTTTCAATATTGTCAAATAAAATTGCTTTAAAGCTTATAAGATTCCTGAAAAAAATTTTAATAATAATAATAATTCTTATTATTTTATATAATATGGCTACAAAAATCTTTTATTCATATAATTGGACGTTAGTGCAATTTGAAATCTCAAAAAATAATGTAATCACTAAATCGAGAATTTTAAATATTTTATCAGTATACAAATATGTCGATATAATTCGTATCAAAAAGGTTGCGAAACGCCAAATCCATATCAAGAGTGTATTAAAAGGATCAAAATCAGTTCGTATAAAGGGAAATTTTACAAATTTAACATTATATAGCTCTTTCTTTCCCCTTTGCTTTCTTGTTGTCATCATACTTTTTATAGAGTGATTTAACCAAATGTCGACCTAAAGCATTGGCCAGTGGTGGGGGAACCGCATTGCCAATTTGGCGGTGCATATCCTTTGTATCATCTCTGTCGGAATAAAAGACAAACCAATCGGGAAAGCCTTGTGCACGAGCACATTCTCTCACAGTAACTATCCTTCTTTGGTTTGGATGTATTACCGTCTTTGAATAGTCGAGTAATGCATTTTATTAATATAATCATGCAATTTGAAATAAGAAACAAAATTCAAAAATGATTAATACCCCCGTTTTCCCCATTGGATTTATGTCCGTTAGAGCCGTGAGGAAATGACCATCAAAATCTAGACGGCCAAAAAGTCCTTTCCATCCATTGTGCCGACTAGCAGCCGAATTAGGATCACTTAAACACCAAGGTTTAAGTTTTTCCGGAAGGTCTAAAACAGGATAAAATGAGATATTTATGCGAAAACATCAACAAACTTTAAATGCTTACTCGAGTGGTCGGCGCCAGGAAACATTGGTATTCGAACTATGCGTTCAACGGTTAAATTGTTAAAAGCACGAGTTACATGATTATGAAGAATGTTAGTTCCTTTGCGAAGTTGTCTCTGATATTCGGATAAAGGGCTTAATTTATATTCAGAGACGTTATCTCCGACCCAGCCTCTTTCTGGAACCATTATCTGCTTAAATGGACGCAACTGTCCTCTGTCCTCTTCAGTCTCTGGATAAACTTTGTGTGGATTAATGAATTCAAAGGCCGGCAGATCTCCAATTGCTTCCCAAACGGTCACTGGTGGTAATGGTGCATGCCCATTAGTGCATTTATTATATGTAAAGGAATTTCCGTTTGGAAGCAATATATTGACAGATCCTTGCTTGGAGAAACACGTAGAGGGCTGAGGAAAGTCAGGTAAATAGGAGTTCCGCTTGGCACCCCAAATAAATAAACGTCGTCGACTTTGTGGAATTCCATGGCTCCCCGCTTGTTGAACACTAAAACGAGTTTGATATCCCATTGAAGTTAACGCGCGTAGGATGAATTTCACGACGCCCATCTTAATCCCACCCTTGATTCGTAT